GGGGTCCCATGCTCAAGCTTCTGTATAGGAATGAGTGACACAGGGAGTAAATAGCTATGAGTCTTGCTGACATAAAACAAAAAATGAGAGCAATATGAACCTATTTCTTTTCATAACAAATACAAAAAAAAGTAGAAGACTCTTCCTTTTGTGCTAGCTCCCTCTTCCATGCACAGGAAAGGCGCCATGGCAGAGGACATTTTTACAACCGAGCTGAAGAACATTACGCAGAGGTTATTATAGCCAATGCTATTGACCTCTGACTCCTCCATTGTTTGGTGATCCGAGTGTGAAAGTGAACCGGCTTTAACTGATTCTGGCAGAGGCTACGGAGCTGTCCAAGCAGACTTCCTGCTGACAAGAACAAAATGCTGTTTTTAGGCTTTATCTAATCAGGGAGGTTGAGCAGCACATTCTGATGTTCACAGCGTACATGTACAAATGTGGGACGGGGAGAATGCAGATGTGCATTTCTGTATCAACATGTGACTGAGACATGTGATGGCAGAGCAGGCCTCACCATTTATCATATTTAATGGTTATTTAGAGGTTGTTCAACCACATTTTGGATATTAAGGGGGTTGATTTCCATAAACTAAACCAGAACAAATTGCTGCCATAATTACAAAACTACGTTAAATTGAAGGTTTTATAATAAGCTTTTTCTCACAGTTAGAATATAACAAAATATCCAAAAGCATGACATGATACAGCCTCTAAACTTTGAACATCGAGTCATCGCTACACAGCTACAGATGACTCGTATTCCGTTCTCAAATGACTCGACGTCTGCCAGAGGAGGAACAGTGGTCACAAGTTGACCCGTATCGCCCCTAATGACTAAGACACTGGACAAGAAACCAGCTTACCAACACTACAAACCACAACCATTACTACTGAGTTGAATCAACTCCTCTACACAGTCTGAGCTCTAATATCAACAATATTATAAGCTTCACAAAGGCAGAATGTTTTGGCTGGGGCCACTGTGTTGCACGACATTGCTTGGTTTTCCTGTTACCATGGCTGCAGTCAAAAAGTAAAAAAAATAAAAGACTATGGCCGAATCCCAATCTCCACACTCAAGGACTTTGATGAGCATTTCCGCAAAGTCCGTGAGGGTTAAGGACTGTCCCACTATCAAATTGTCGAGGGTTTGAAGGCTCTCTTGCAGACATTTCAAGCACTTTAAGAACCCTTTCCATAAATCAGCATATCTGCAGACTTTGCCGGAGGGAATTACCCACAATTCATAGCAACGTGACGTTAAACACAGGGTTACCAGTGGAAGCCGGAGACGTAAGAGAAAAAAAAAAAAAAAAAAAAAAAGTAAACAAAAAGGACTGCACATGGCTGTTCAGCGTGGCAGATTACATTTACACAAAAACATTTGGGATTAAAGATGGAAGATAAGAACACATGAATACGATAGAGACTATAATAAACAGCTGGTTTATTCATTACTATTTCTTACTTATTACTATTAAAGCTGTTTTGACAAAAACAAATAGATTATCTGACAAATAACTCATCTCGTGAGGCAAAAGCCTGGAAGATGTTCAAATCAGGGAGTAAAAATATAAAAATAAGACAATTGTACATAACATCAATATTTCCTACTTGCAATAATTTGAATTCAATTTATTACAAGCCTATCTTGCATTTTATAAACTGATGCTTTTTCTGATTGCTGTAACACTGAAAATCCCATTGGACGTCGCCATCCTCATCATGGGACTACTAAAGGATGTATGCAGTGGACGTGTTAAAAACACATCAATGAGCCACAATGTTGCACTGCGTGACATGTTCCTTTATTACCACGAACAAGGGTAATATCATTTTTTTGGAGTCTATCCCACATCCTGGTACTTTTACACAAAATTGGAGGCCGGAAAATCCTTCCCATTGTGGACTAGAAAACATCACGCACGTCTGTTGTACAATCAAAAACAGCAACGTTGGGTGACTTTACATTTTTAGCCCGTCGTCGGTCGCATCTTTCTGACATTTCTAAAAGAAGATGGGTAAATTGTGACACTGTTGTGTGTCACATTTCCTTCAGTGAATAAACAGTATCTATGTTCTGTTGCTCAACAGAGGAGTGCTGTTTGGCCATCGCTGTGGTAAATTCAATACATGACTCCCAATATGAACTTCGCAACAATAGGGCTGGGAAATGCAGCTGAATAAGCAAAATCTTTAAATAAATGGGTCTTTCCTAGGAAAAGATGTGTCAAACTGACTTAATATTTTGGAACATTTGTAAAAAAAAAAAATAGCTTTTCTTATCTTCTCGTATTGCACTTCACAATCATGCTCCACTTGGACACTGTCCACTTGTTTATCAGCTGCAGTGTTGGGTGTCGCAGGCTTCGGGACAAAAGCCGATTGTGTTATCTGCTGCTGATGCTGTGAGCAAACTTTGTGTATCCATTACTCATTAGAACGCCAAAAGACATTAATTACACACGAGATGTCAAACAATTCAATTCTCCTAGTTTCAATTAAAGGCATTACCAATTAATGAGATGTTTCTTTATTCTACACTGCCTCTCCTTATTAAGCATTATAAAACTCTAATGTCAGTATTGTCTGTCAAAGACAGTTAACTGGGAAGTGTGATGAAACCCAGGCTCACCCATCTGCCTACCTCTGCGTAGGATGGTGATTGGTGCAGTGCTGGAGTGGGAGCTGCTGCTCGTCACATGAGGGAGAGCAACTCTGTTACTCTGACCATGGCGTGCTGGAGGTATGAAGCTGGATTCTGTTGCAGCTCTCTGACCGGGGCTGGGCTTCTTGACTGTATTCTGGATATCTAGGAACTTTAACTCCTTGATATCAATGGCACTACAGAAGACAAAAAAAATTACTGAGCTTACTTAGAGCTCAAACTGCAATTCAATTTTCAGTCAGCATGCCAAAGCATAAAAGGATCAGACATGGCCCGTTGAGCACATTGGGTGGGAAAAGCACTAACATTTAAAGAGATAAGGGTTTCAAGGTTGCACAATCCTAAAAATGTGGTAAAAAACAAACAAAAGTATTTAAATCAGCATCTAGAGCTGGACCTGAATTTAAAATATAGACGGTCATATATATGTGGCAGATTTGTTTTCATCCAGGAAAGAAGAAAAAAGGTAAAAAAGAAAAGAACAAAAAAATGGTCAAAAGCAGTTTTGTAATAAGAAATTGTTTTACTATATCTAACATGCATTAAAAACAGATCACTTGTTTGTCAGCCCTTTTCACCAAATGTCATTTAGACCTTTTAACAACATCTCACACTAAAATATAATCTCTTTTGGTTGCGGTAATAATTATAAATCTGATTCCAGGCTGAATGTGAACATTAGAGACTTGTTGGTTCCCACCAACAAACATTGCCCAATGTAAAGCGTTCAACATTGCCCATGGTGAATTGGTTGAATCTGTGTGTTTTCTTTTGATGCTTGATGAAGAAAAAGTGTGCGCGTCCTTCTTCTTTCTTACCTGAAAGTGACCTCGGGAAGAGGACATCTGACACCATTGTGATAGGGCTGTCTCAGCGAGATGGTCTGGCTGGCGTGATCGACAGATGACACCTCTCCCTGATAAATTCCCAACGTCAGCCCGCAGTTTATAGACACAACACTACCCAACCAGTCTGTGGCCATTCTGTTCGCTGTGATCCTATGGTTCAAACACATAAACAAGAGAAATCAACCAACGGTAACTTTAGGTCCATTTCAGCCAGGTCCGTCACTGCAATCGAGTACAATGAGGATATTAAGGGTTTTAGCAACATGGGAGGAGTTATATTTGACAGTTTTGAAACAGACATTTTAGAGGCTGATATATGTATTTTAGAATTGGTGTGCTGTAAAAATTGGGAGATTGTTTTAACAATTAATTAATTATCTTATCTTATTAAGTTGCTAAATGTATGGAAAAATGTTTTACCCTGTACACTGTAAACGAAGACGTCATATAAAGTGTCATGGTCTGCTGGTGTAGCTACTCGGTCCACTAATGTTGCAGCACCTGATCTTAATTAGCTAGCTAATGCACCACTGCAATGTACCGTTTGCTCATTTGTGAGTTAACGTTACTTTCACCAACGAAGAGAAGACTACAGTTAAAAAAGACAGTTAAATTTGACTTGAACTGGGATAACTGATAACTAACTGCGTACTGTTACTAGCTGCTCGACGTATTATAATGCGTTTCACTACCGTTAGCGAGCTTTGTGCGAATATTAGCTTAACGTTACCGTTCATTTAAAAAGGTTTTTCGCGTGTGTCTGAGGTAGAATTGACTATTAAAAACGTGGAGGGGGGAAATAACCATAACATAACATCCATATGAGGGCAGTGTTCAGAATAATATACGGAAAATCACAACATTAACTATACTGTATAACCAGTATGCTGTGCTAACTAGCTGGACAGCTAACATTAGCTTCGCCTCTATATCTATATCGCCTCTGTATCTAAGCTGACTGTTGTAAACTTGAGTGTTTACTTCTCTTGAATACTCAACCCGCGTATATTCAGTCGATAACGGACAAATGTACCTTGTCGATAAATCTGTAGCGTGGTGTCAAGGAAAGCTGCAGCTGTTTTTTGTGCCGTTTTCCGGTTCGATGCGCGACGTCACTTCCTTTATGTCTCACGTGGGTTTGTTGTGATTTTTTCTCTCTCGCTTTCTCTCTAAAGTTTAAACTAGTGACCGTATCCACCTTTATGTGAGGGCCATTACTGTGTTTTTTTTTTTCAAATCAAGCAAACGATAGGAACAAGATGATCATTGCAACATAGTTTATTTGTGTGGCTGATTAAAGGATCAAATGTCCTTACATGCTATACAATCATAGATACATCAGAGATACAAAATACAAAATTGTATCGCCTACTAGTATATTCCAAGAAATCACTGGAACTCTTTTGGTGTCCTGATATTTCAAATAGATGCACAGCAAAACTATTTACCTCAAAACAAATACTAGGCACATAAAGAAACAACTTTATAAAATACAAAACTAACTTGATATACACACAAAATCACATTTCGGGGTACAAATATAGCTTCACTGTCTTACATCCACATTGTAATGGAATCAAAAAAATAATTCGCTTACAGGTATAAATTGTGTTCCCATGTCACAGAGGACAAACAATTGCAACAGTAATGCCCATCCGGTAAAACATACCGTGTGTCCCAAAGTTGAACGAGGCAAGTTAGTCTCTGAGTGTTTTACAACTTCTTAACAGGAGCAGTTTTAGTTTAAAAACACAGGAGAAGCGGGTATCTCCTTATACTTCACTGAGAAGCACCAACCATGTGCAGGAAAATCTCTTAGAGAACCAAAAAAAAACATGACAAAGATATGTTCACACAAACGCAGACATCTCTGACAATCTGCACATTTTACTCATCTGCTTCAATGCCCTTAGCTCTGTAGCTCAAAATCAGCATCTGGTGCTTTACATTCTGAGAAAGATGCTTCTTTCGCTGACTGATATCCTAACAGTGCCCTCCATACGGTGGCAACTTAACACCACCTATTGAGTCACACACACTGGAAATAGCTTCACTGCTCACTCCTTGCTCGCATCGTTGCTTTGAGGTGGCAGCGCTTGTGCTTCATCGTGAGGCCATATTCTGGGGTCATGTCCAGCGGCTCTCCGGGCATCGCGTGGAAGTGCAGTTTCTGGACGATGATTGCCAAGAAGAGGTAGACCTCGTTCCGCGCAATGACCTCGCCAATGCAGCGCCGCTTGCCCATGCCGAAGGCCATCACCTTCTCCCCCTCCAGCTTGTTTACCTGGGCGCCGTCGGCGCTCAGGAAGCGGTCCGGGTTGAAGGTGGATGGGTCTTTCCACAGCTCGCTGAAAAGTGCAGAGGATGAAGAAAATAAGATGTGCTGCACAATAATAGAACTGGTTTGTACTTGAGCAGCTTTGTCAGTAAACTGTTTTAATTAGGAAACTTACGGATCTTGGTTGACCTGCCACTGATTGATGAAGACGCAGGTGTCTTTGGGAATGAAGTAGCCATACAGAGACGTGTCTTTTGTGGTGCTGAAAAAACAATGGGCAATGTGTTAGTCCGCTGCATATTTGCAGGTTTACATCTAGGTTTACATGCTGGTCCCGTGAGAATTTAGCATGTCATTAACACACATTTCCACCTGCATGTGTGGCACTCTCATGCATCTTAAAAAGGAGATGAATCTCACCAATGAGGGATGGTGAAGGGCAGGAACGAAGAATGGCGAAGGAGCTCCAGGATGAAGGCCTCCAGAAAGGGCAGGTTGGGTTTGTCGGAGAGAAGGGGAGTGCGATCCAGACCCACTTTGTCCTCTGGAAAAATGAAGAGATTGGAATGAGCTTTCCTGCATTACTGGTTTGATACTACTTTTCGTAATATGAATGCACTATCCGAGGAAGTGTTTTGTGTAAAAAATAGCTGTACTTACTCAGCTCTTGATAAAGCCTCTCCTGTATCTCCGGGTAAGCCACCAAGTACATCACTGACCAGGACACGGTAGTGGAAATGGTGTCAAAACCTGGAAGAGAAACACCTTTGTAAGGACACCTGTCTTCTTTATTCATTCATTCATACTTCTTGATCAGATCATTCAACATGTGGAGAAATTCAACCTACCAGCTCCAAACAGGTCATTGACAATTCCCACAATCTTCTCATCTGACATCTGGACGTTGGAGTTCTCATCCAGCTTCCGGTCCTCGCAGTGATCGATGAGGGAGTCGGTGATGTCACGAATATGGTCCTGAAAGAAGATCATTGCACGTTCATATGCAGCGATTGAAGTGGGGGGTATGGAACAGTGTGTCATTTTTCAATTAAAAACGTGGAAGAGACGCGTACCTTGTCATAGGTGGCGTAGTGCTCGCTGACGATCTTCTGCACGAACGTGTTGAAATGCGCGTTGATGCTCTTGAACTTCTTCATCATTTTGCTGGGCAGGAACCGGAGAGCCGGGATGAAATCCGCGGGGTTGCCACTCCCCACCACCTGGCTGAACTCGTCGCTGAGGTTCACCAGGCTCAGCAGCTCCTGGTCGTCGTGATTGTAGCGGCGGCCGAAGCACATGCCGCAGATCACGTTGGCGACGGAGACCACGATGTGGCGGAAGGGGTCGAAGCTGCCGTCGGCCACCATGACGGTGTTGAGCTGCTCGATCAGGTACTCGCCCTCCTTGCAGATGTGCTCCTCGAGCATGCAAGAGTACTCCGGGGTCGTGCCCTCCAGGGTGGAGAAGGAGCGCAGCGCGCTGTAGGCGAGCTTCCTGCGGGCGCGCCACACGCCAGCCTGGTCCGTGCTGAAGGCCAGGCTCTTGCCGTCGTTGATGAGCCTGAAGCTGTACAGGTCAGGTCGGCCGGCGAAATCGTCCCCTTGCTTGATGAGGGCCTGGCGCAGCGTGTCGCTGCCGCTCAGCACGACCACGGGGCGCATGCCGATCTGGATCTGGAAGATGTGGCCGTAGCGCTTGCTCATGGCGGTGAGGCTCAGGTAGGGCCTGCTGCCCATCTCCAGCACGTTCCCGATGATGGGCAGGGGCTTCGGCCCGGGCAGCCGACGGAGCCCCTCGGGGATCTCGGTGTGGAAAAACTTGAAGATCAGGTAGACCAGACACAACGTTGTCATGGCAACCAGACTCTCAGATACCGACACTGGACCGATAAATGGTAGTATCGTAAGCACCATGATGACGACTTCCTCTTTTTTCTTTTTTTGTATGCTGGCTTCTGCACAACCTGGAAATTAAATAGGAGGGGCATTAAAGTAGTGAGGACAGGGAGGAGAAGTGTTGTGCAACATGTTGACTGCATGCGCCATAAACTGAAGTAACTCAAGTAAATGGCACACAGCATGTGTTTGTTATTAATTAGACTCGATAAGTTTGCATTCTGCATAAAACTTTTTTTCACAATGCTATATGCAACATAGTCTAGTTTACTACCACTACCATGACTCACAGAAAGCCTATTAATACAACGCAGTGATTCAAAAGGAAGCGTACGTTAAAAAGGTGCAACTGCAAAGAAGACCAGACTCGTATGTATTAACAGCAATGCTTACAAAAAAATCTGCACTCAGCAGTTTGCTCTTATCACTCTGACATTGTTTGCTCAGTTGGAATCCAATGTGTCGTCATGTGCATGTATAATAATCTTACCTCAGTGAAGCAACAACGGAGCAGCAATGCTGTGATCCCAGAGAGATAGTAAGGACAAAATATATATTGTTTAGTGAGTTAATGCCCGAGTTTACTCTCTTAATGTCTCCAAAGCAGAGAATGGGCTCTTGCTCTTATAGTGCGCTCCACAGCTTCATTGGCTGCTCTTCATGAGGTAACCCCGCCCCCCCTCCCCCTCCCTCGCTCTCTCTGTTTGTCATGAATGAAGTTTAGTACAGAGAAAAAGTGTGTGTGTGTGTGTGTGTGTGTGTGTGTGTGTGTGTGTGTGTGCCTGTAAGACTTCATGTCAATGACGAAATCGCATATTTTACAGTTGCTGAAAGAAAGCTTTTAGGTTGTTTTTTTAAGATGCTATCTATTATTATAATATATATATATATATGTTTTACAATATCTGGACTATACGTTATAATTGTAATGCCTATTAAAAAAATACCCGTGCTTTGATCTCATCAGTGCCAGCTCCCTGATGCAGTAACCTTCTAAATTGTAATCAATATTAAAAGCAAAATCCACTCGGCTATCAATACCTCTCACACATGAATTATGGCAGGTCGCTGCTTCGATGAGCTGACGTGTGATTTCAAAATGATTCGAATCAGGAAAGCTTGTCAACGTTGTGGTAAAATTGATTTTATTGGTCGAGACCGAGACGAATTATATGTCTTTTGCAAGAAAGAAAAGGTCCATCACAGATACATCAAAGGCAATTATAGCCTAAATGTCAGGACAATTTATATTTCCTCTAGAAATAATGGAACAGTGAGTTGGCTTTTTTGACTTCTAAAGTCAGTCCTGTTTGCCCCGCAGTGACACAATCGAGGTTTTGGTGCGTGAGAATAGGAGTTTTGCGACAACTTGCACATGCAACAACCACCCAGGCGGCTTAAAATCCTGATACAACAGTCAAATGCCATGTCGTGCTTGTACCTGTTTGTTCTCCGCTGGAGTTAAAGATTGACCAGTTGCGTGAGAGCGCAGTGATCAAACCTCCCCTTTGAGGAGGATGAGTGGGTGCGGGGGGGAGGCAGCTGGAGTGCAAAGGGTATATGAGTTCAATACCATTCCTCTTTCTCCTTTGCAGCCTGTTTTATACCCACAGAGAATTTCCCAACAAGCTCTGTCCCTTTTGGGGGATTTGAAAAAAACCCAGAATATCTGATAACTTCATTCGATAGATGAGCTGAGAAATGAGAACTATAATCCTTACTAATTTGTTTCAATTTATAATATTTTAGGCTATATATATCTGCAGCAGTCCCAACTGCGGTCGTAGACACTGTCCGGACTCATTGCGCAACAGGTGTTAAACGAACATCTGTGACAGTCGGCGATGGAGAAAAGACACATTCAGTTTTTCTGCTTCCATAGATATCAAAACGTGTGACTGTCTCAATAACACAGCGAAAGTAGGATTATTGACCTGCTTTGTCCGCATGTTCACAGTTTAGCATATTAAGTCATTTATGAAAGGATTTTCAACAGATTGATTTCTATGGTAAATCTACTTTATCACCAATATAACACATTTTGTATAGAGGAATCTAATTTTGCATTGCAAGTGTCAGTGTTTTTGGATATTTAACAATTGTATTTAGTCCCTCGTTGATTCTGAGATTTGGATCAGACAATATGAAAATCCTTTAAAATGGAATCGAGACTGAAATCACTGACTGGTACACAAAGACTCATATATATATATATATTTGTAAAAGCCAGTTGTAATTTGGGGGATTTTAATTATTGTTTGCACATCTTAAGTTATGTTCTAATTATACCAAATGGCATTGGAATAAACATCCTGTTATCCACTGAAATCAGACATAAATACCAGCTTCACAGCCTAAATGTAACCATTAAAGTGTTCTGTCTGTGGGCAGACAATTCCCTCACATATGTTGTGGTTATCAGGATACACGTGTCCAACATGTCTTCACTTTTAGAGGAGGAATTATTTCATGATTTATTTATGATAAAGTAACGACAGCAAGTTATGAAGGGTTAATAAAAACACAGTTTGCACATTATGGGTTATTGGCGTAGACAAGACCACCGTGTATTTTAACTCGAAGTGACTTGTTTGTGTTTAGAAATAGCCCACACACGTTTCAGGCAAAACCATCGTCTACCACGCATAAGGACACTGCGAACCCCCCCCCCCCCCAAAAAAAAGTAGAGCTATGAAATCCGGGGAAGAGTTTGGATTGAAGGAAAAGTCCGGCAGGTAAAAGTTTGGGTTGCGTATTTATTTGTGCGTAATCCGCGCGGCTCAGCGCTGTCCTGATCCTCCCGGACTTTGTGTGTTTGTGTGTGTGTGTGTGTGGTGTGGTGTGGTGTGGGGGGGGGGGGGGGGGTTGACTCTCCGGGGACTCTCTGCCGTGCGCCGCGGGACTGCGCCTCTGGTGCTGCAGGTTGCGTGAGAAGCGGAGCTGCCGTCCAGAGGGGAGGGTCCCGGTCTTCTGGACAATCCTAAATCTGCTTGGTCAAGTCACGCGAAGGCGGCAGCCTCTGGAAAAGACACAAGGGTCTTAAACTCGCAGAACAAAGAGCGCGGGACGCGAGACTCTCTCTCTCTCTTTTTTTTCTTTCTCTCCCCCTGCTTGGGCACGAAGGTGCACATATTTGCGCGCTATAGCTTCTGTAAATGCGAGGATCTTGGGGCTTTGGAGTCATGCAATCTGCCACTCAGGCTTCATTCACTGCAGTCATGCAACGCGGTGCGTGGGGCCGGACTGAGCAGCCGCACATGGCGAGGACCTGCAAAACAGCAAAACAAGTCATGAGAACTTGAATTTATAAAACAAGGCAAACTATAAGTCACGCTTTCTAACACGCAGCGGGACCCAGAGAGGAGCCTGGCATTGCTCAATTGTGAGACAACGGAAAAAAAGAGACGTTTAATTTGAGCAGTGATTTAATTCCGCAGCTTTTACAGAAACAGTTATACACTGTCTTTGTAAATAATATATATTAATAATAATACTAAATAAATAAATACTTAATATGAACATTTTGAGAACACCACAATTAGAGAGAAAAGCCAGCTTTTTATCCAATAAATCACACAGCTATACACTGTATGCCTTTTACACATACTATTATAGCTGTCTCTCTCTCTCTATACTCCCCCCTGCACCCCCTAAAGAATATTACAGTTGCAACAATACACCACACTGCCTAAACACCATGCAACGCAGGGCTGTCTGTGTGCTTCTGAGGGACACAATGCTGTTTCTACAGGGAGTGCCCTCAGTGGCATCCTGTTGCTCTTGTGGCTGAAAAGAGAAACCCATGTCAGCTGTGCCACATTGATCAAAACACAAACCCACGAAGGGAGCATTACTCATTTCACTACAGTGCGGTGGGCCTCAATGCATTTAAAAATCTGGGATGTGGGAGTGCGATTGTGTTCCACGGGGATGAAAGTGAGCCTGATTAAAGATGAACGCGCACCTCGACGGTGGACAGTCTGCAGGTGAGAGCCGGCTGCATTCTCAGCGGGTGCTCAGGCTGCAGGGGTGTGTGTCAGATCCCAGCAGGTGAGCGGCATTCACAGCTGGAGACGGGGGGGCAACTGTAAATGTCACACAACGGTGCTGAAAACTGCACTTTTTCACCTTTCGAATTCCCCATTTTCAAGGCAATTGGGCTTCGGTTCCTGCAGCCGAAGTAAGGGGGGGGGAGAAAAAAAGAGTATAGGTAGCAGAGGTGGAAGAATGTGAGTCAGTGGGGGGACTCTGTAGTGAGGTTTTCTCCTAACTTCTTAAACAGATTAAAGAGATTACAGGTTACTACAGGAAGTGAAGACTCATGCTATGTGTGCAGATTTGACCACAGCCAGAGCAGCAGCAGGTCATGCACAGGACGAGCTGGAATGCAGAGCTGGAGGTGTGCGGTGTTAGTTTCCTCACTGGCCGTTTCACAGAACTGGGGAGGGGAAAAAAGAAAATGTTTTGCCCTCAGCAATATACCTCCTAAATTCTTGGACATAAAAGCAGGTGTAATGACATGTGAAGGTTGTTAATTTCTACTCACGCAAAGGCTGTCACGTACACCTTCAGAGCAGGTGTGTACATCCGTTTCACCGTGTGACTGGAGGTTGTTTTTTTCTTTGTGTGGGTTTTCATGATTTAGCGCGAGTTGACTGAATGAATGTGCCTCTGCGGGCCTGTCACGAAGCGACGAAACCTCTTCAAAACACTTAAGATAACAATTTATCTTTTATAAATTTAAATATTGCATTTTCTTGCATTTTACACTGGCCAGTGCTCCTTCTTTAATGCTTATTCACCACTTTTATTTTGCTTTTGTAAGTAGGAAATGACAATTAACGTGTAGTCCTAAAACCTGCTCAAAATAGAATACCCCTCCTTTAAAATCAATGACGTGGTGGGGTTCTTAAATAATACTTCACACAATACTTCCTTAAAAATCAGAACATGTCCTCAAGCTGCCTGGCTGAAACGCTGTCCAACAAGATACCAAAGTCTTTTCCTCATCCAGCACTGCTGTACCGATGAGCTTTAAGGAAGTGGGGAAACAAAATTGGAATTTCCCTTCAATGATCTGACAAGTATCACTGTACATTTGCATGAAACTACAATGTGAACCCATTATTATTAGAAAATGCTCTTGATGATGTAATAAAAAGACGAAAGAAAACCACACATGGTGGGCAGGAGTGGAGGTGGTTGGGTCAAACAAACGCAGGACTTTCAACCAGGAGACTGGTGTCGAGTTATTCTGAAGTTACGTTAGTAATGTTTGTGACGTGTTCTCCGTATTTATGTAGCGTTGTTTACTTAGTTTACTAGTTTAAGCCCAGCCATGATGTTTTTTATTAACATAACTACGGTATTTAACGAGTTGTTTAATGAGAACGTGTCGAGGAGTCGCATTTCCTCGACACGAATTGTCAGAATCAATAAAGAAGCAACGGCTGAGATAACTTTTAGTCCCTACCATGGTTCGAACTCTTGGGCCCTACATTTCCCATAATTCCTTGGTGCAAAGCTCCCACCAAAGCCACAGAGGACATATGTAAACTGAACTTCATGTGTAAAGTTGGTAGAGTGCCCCTTT